GTGTTTCAACATAAATCCTAGAGTTAATATGGACTGTACTCATCAAACGTATATCCTTCTTGTCTGTCCAATTCACAACCTCATTTTTTCTCTTTTCTGCTGAGTAGACGTTGAAGATTTCTCACTGTCTTGAATCTTATATAAAATGGCGCGAATATTCATAAAACCCGGGGAGAAATTTAACTAGAAATAGAATGCCTGATTAGTACTGCCCTCTAGGAGGTATTAGAACAAACAAAAAAAAATTAAAACAAGTAAACATTTAGAAAGCGTTTTAAACGTTTAAAAGTTTTAAAATGTAGAAGAACGCTTGAAGCGCGTTACGGCCGCCCTGCAGAAGTTTCACTTGAAGACGCGTTACGGGCAACGAAGAGATTAATCTTTTTTAATTTCTTCGTTTTATTATGCTGAAATCCAATGTAATCTGGTGAATGTTTTTCTTCATTTTCATTCATGATTGCTTCATTTCTCATGGCAAAAAAATCTAGATTATGTGTGTACTAAAAAATGGCATAGATACTCCTCACTTTGAATTTCAGTAGTTGGTTCAGTTTTCTATTAAACATTTAGAATCGAAAGCACAAATGGAGGATTAGTTTATAGATGGTATGCAACTGTCAACTTTTTGTAAATCTTTTAGCAGATTTACTCTGCCGGAAATCTGCATTTTCTATATGCCGCGATGTTGAAAAATAACGTCTTAAAGCTTTACGATTTAAGTGGAAGCCGCCATAAACAAAGAGCTTTCACCCTTCAATACTGAGACACCTGCCTTTTCGTCTCTATGCTGCTTCAATGCTCTTAATTTCTGTGATGTTTGTGAGTTTAATATGCCAATAAACCAATGCTACTAGATTATCTTGGTCTAAAGATTCTGTCTGGCTGTTAAATGCATTTTATAGAACGCAGCGGAGGCCCACCAATGTAAAGTCGCCGTACACTGGTAGTTAGGTCCGGGGCTCGAATCCTAGCGAACGGGCTGACTGCATGGACGTTTTCGGGGGTTTTCCCATATGTAACGTATTTACGAGCCAGTCTTCCTTAGGAAGTCCTCCATGAAGGCATCCTTTTTCTTAGGCAGATCCTCGTGTGTTTTGCCATAATCAAATAAACCAATCCAAGATGCAGCAGAGTTGGATTTTCATCGTTGCTGCCTGATTTCGTTAATGAAAGAACAAGGATTCTGATATTATAATTCAAAAGTCGTCGATTGTTCATATGCTTGATATCAGCAGGAAATTTATTTTCATTAACACTTTCCTCATTGCACTTTGCTTTTCATTAACACTTTCGTTTATTAATACTTTGCTCTTTGACTCTTTTTGTTGTGTTATGGACTGCTTAAAGGCAACGCCCTCTAGTCTGTTTCTATAGGAGAAAAACTGGCCCTTCCTCATTCGATATGAAGTAAGTTTTTCATTTGAAACCGCCCCGGACGAAGGTAGAATTTCACCTATCATGAAAATTTAATAGGCATCTTTATAGCAAATTCTGAGCAAACAAATTACCGTAGTCTGTGTTGTAGTCTGCAACTTGTGTTGATAGTGATCTATAATTTGTTACTAAGGTCCCAAACGAAAAAAATATGTAAATTATCTCATTAGCTCATGATTGCACACCTTAGTGGGAAAATCGCCAACTTTCTATGTGAAAGGTTTCAGGAAAAACTATTTTAATATTATAAAATTGAAATAGAATATAAATAGAATTAAAAAAAAGGCTTTCTCATTGATAGCGTAGTTATGCTGTCACAGATGTTAAAAGCTCAAATCTGTTCTTTATGTACATTGGCCATTTTTGCATCGATGTACACTCTGAAAAAAAAAATTAGGACGGTTGCGGCGATTGAAGAAATTTAACTTGCATTTTGCATATTTCGAAAGCAGCATTGTTCTAACATAAGTATTTTGACACAAAATCAGACTTTTTCTGAAATGACATATCCATGTTTTCCCATATTACGATTCCCTGGCTCACATTATGCTGAAGTATTAAATTCTGTAAAATATGATGAGAAACTTGCCGAAAAATTCAAAAATTTCTCTTGGCGCACTTTTTTCGGTTTGCGCCAAAAATAATTTACGGGCGAAATTTTTAATTTAGCCTACTTCCCTTTCCTTTTCATTTAGCACTAGAGGAAAAAAAAGGTGCATCGTTCATTCTTTCAAATAATTTTCTTTACAATACATTTTCTCATAGCAATCTGTTGCTATCTTTCGCCTTGTTACTGGCCATGAGTACTTTCGAAAACACCGGCATCGACCATTATCCCAACCCCAGTTTGTAAATTGTGCAACCTGCATGAGTAAATGGATACTTCACATTGAGCTTCACATTGAGCTTCACACTGATCTCAATCGTTGCTCTTGACTTGATGCTGGATCACTCTGGGAAAGATATTGAGTCTCGATTGAGATAAAAACTTTTAGATTTATAGATTTTACTGCAGACTCTTTTTTGGTTTTGCTTTTCTCTTTCATTTTTGCCTGTTTTATCTACAGTTGTCTTTATAATGTGCCATTAGAAATTTAATTTTTTTTTTCATCATAGTTGTTACATATAGAGCGTAAACCACAGCTGGCGTTATTATTGCTTGAAAGAAAGATGCCAAATTTCAAAATGCGCCAATATGTAAATTCACATATATCTGGGAAAATTTGAATAAGAAACTCTAATGCTTTGCAGGTATGCTTACAAATACATCTACTTTGAGATGGTAGTAAAAATGATACAGGCTATAAATCTAAAATATTTTCGAAAAATTTATAAAATGTGCTAAAAAATAAATCAGAAAATATCTGAGAATTTTATTTAGTCAGAATCTAAATTCCGAACTGTGAAAGAAGGAATTAAGAAGGTTTAATAAAAATATCTGATATGTACACCACATGGCATCCTTGTACGAAATATTAAATTATACACCTTTTTTGCTGCGTTTAATTTAAACTTAATTCCTTGAATTTCATTAGAGATATACAAGTATATCTCATTTAATTAATTCAATTCTCACTTCGTGGCAAGGCGAAAATACATAAAACCTCAAACTATCTTTATTAAAAATTGAAAAATATAGAAAATATAAAACACCAAATACTGTTAAACCAATTTTTAAAAAACAGTTAGAATTAAAATTAGAATTTCTACGCAAAAACAAGCAATTCGAATAGCAGGCAAAGAAAGCAGATTTTTCGGGGCACAAAACTAGAAGTTTACTTTTGGTCCCATTCGGCAAAAAGACACTGAAGATGGAGAAACTTACTAATTCATTATTCTGCTAAGTTTCAATTGTAAGCAAATATGGCTGCTATAGTAAAAGAATTAGGCTTAGCTGCATTTAAACAATTTTAAATTGTTGATTATTCTATAAGTATTGCATGCAGATTAAAAAAAGGCATAAAAACCTTACCCGAAGATTAGAACAACATAATTCAATCATTTTGAAAGCAAAAAAATGCACAACTTACCAACATATAAGAATGAAAGAATGAAAGAACTGAGCTCACGGGTCCGAGTAACAGAGTGGGTATATATACTATATATATATATATATATATATATATATATATATATATTGGTGCAGCCGATTGCAACTAACAAGAGAGGTGCGCAGCTACATATTATAGTAGTCGTACATGCAAAATTTCAAGGTTCCGAGCATACACCTTTTTGAATCATGCGAGATACATGCATACGTATGTACAGACGTCATGAAATAATCTCTTCTGAATCAATTTTAAATCCTTTTTGTAAGCCGTTTTTGAAAAAAGAGTCATTTTTTCTGTCCTTACCTACACATGTCACTCAAAAACTTCGTTAAATTGCATTCAATAGCGATCAAAATTGTTATTTTCGTTGAAATGTGATACCCGAAAATTTTCGGGATTACAATACTTCTTTTACTTCGTGCAGGGAAGTAAAAATATATTAATAAATATGTATCAAATTCAATTAATATTGAGGTGCTAATATTTTTAGAACTAATTTTTCAAAAATCTACATGTGCGATTTTTACAAAACTTGGCACTTTGGCATAATTTGAGTCGGGGAATAGAAATAGGACGAAAAATCAATATGGCATTTAAGGAAAAGCCTGACTGTGCGTCAAAATACCTGTGTTAGAAAATGCTATATATAAATCTAATATATATCCCAAATTGCTCTTTGAAAACATGAAAAATGGAAGTTAAATTTCGTCAATCGGCCCAGTAGAATGGGAGATATGATATTTTGTTTTTTTTGTGTGTGTGTCTGTGTAGAGCGTATAGATATAATTATGTTCAAAATCTTCTCAACACATTACTAAAGAACTCGGACACGAAAGGATAAACTTTAATGTTCTCTAATTTTGTTAAAACAAAATTTCTTTTAAATTCGGAAAAATAACTTTCGACAAAAATATGCTGTTTTCAATATTGCTGTCAATAGTTCTATATATCAACGGGCTTAAACACTGTCGTCTCTAAAAATATTAGATTTTACATACATAATTGTGGAATAACTTTTTTCTAATTAGGTATGAGAGTACCATTTTCGAAAAAGGAAGTTAAAAGAGCATTAAAAATATGTCAATATATCATGCAATTTGTGAGGAAAATTGAAGATAATATTATCATTTTAATACAATTTTACTCATAAAACAGATCTTGCTCATATTATTTTAAATAATAATAATAACAACAGGTTAAAAAATATTATTTAATTATTTTTTACGTTTAGTTTTTCTATTCATAAGCAAAGCAAAAATTATTTCGTTTAATTTTTGAATTTCGAATCTCTTAGAAAAATCGCGTGGAACAATACACAGCTTGAATGTCACTGCTACATATCTGCACCTCACCTTATTTTGAAGTAAAACTTAGTAAAATCATTTGTTTAATTAGATATTATTTAAATATTGTTCAAAATATATCAATTGCTGATCCTTTTGTTTCACTCCTTTATAAAAGTCTGACTTGTAACCAACCAGGAGCCTAAAGAAATCTTATCTTTCCACATATTAGCAGGACTTTCCTTCAACCTGGCAGCCTGCGCGTCGCATCATCACTTTCATGGGCCTTGTCTCCCTCGTCTGCACCCTGCTGGTGGTGGCCATCATCCTCATCGCCGTTGCCCTTTCCAGATCGGGCCATCCCCGAAATACGACGCGTATCAGACCTTCCAAAGTGGTTTATCTCGTGCCTCCGCCTCGAAAGTTCGTCAATCGATCGCCCACCATCGTCATTCACAAGCACAATGCCCGAATATGGCAAAAGCATGTTGAAGAGTTGTCAACCTTGATGAGGGCCTACAGGGAAAGACAAGGAACACTTTCCACCTCCAACTGTGACCTGCATTATGCACCAATAGGTAAGGAGTTTCATACCATAGTCTGATTATAACTTTCCATTTAAAAGATTATAACCTTATATATAAGCTCGTCATACTTCGGAAATTATGGCACATTGTTGATGCCCATGCTGTAAGTTAACTGCATTGCAATGAATTAATCCACCATATAGCTTGCACAGGTGAAAAATACAGCTTGTATGGGTAGACATCTACAGTATCATGCATTTTAAGTTCGTGTTAGCACAATCCATACTGTATTTGCCTGATCAGGTTATAAGGTATTTCTCCCGCTTTCCTATCGCGCCTTCGGGGTGTAGTGGTTCTGCACGCTCGGCCGGTATTCTAGAGATCCATGGTTCGATTCCAGGCGAAGGCGTTGCATATTTTTCACCTTGCCCTCTTCCAAAAAATACCTAATATCTCTACAGTGGCTAAAAGGGTGTTGGATGAGATTCTCCACACACAGGATTTGGCGATTGGGTCAGCTAAAACCCCAGTCGCCCTTTAATAAGGGGAGTATATAAGGTATTTCTCCCGCCTTCCTAGCGTGCCTTTGTGGTGTAGTGGTTCTGCATGCCGAGAGGTACGTGGTTCCAGAGGTACGTGGTATTCCAGAGGTCCGTGGTTCGATTCCCGGAGAAGGCGCTGCATATTTTTCATTTTGCCTGCTTCCAAAAAATACCTAATGTCTCTACAAGGTATATTCGCTTGTACTAAGCTACTGTACCAGAGTACACAGCATGATATCTCAATAGAATTTACTCGAATGTTATGTACATTTTCAACAGCAAATCACTGAGTTTATTCTTGCGGAATTGTAGCAATTACTTCTTCAGTGCTACTGTTTACTCGAAGCTAGATGTAACGTATGAAAGTGATTGTTTTTTTTAAATAAAATGGAAGTGAAACTAGTATTAGGCTATTATACGAAATCTGTATTATGAACTATTGCTCTAAAAATATCGGAGGACGTGATCGCATTCTCGGAATATCTGAACTGTAGCCCTAAGAGGTACAGAGGTTAGCAACTCTGGATGCCTTATCTATGAGTTTGGGGATGAATCTCGAAGAAGACATGGATGTTTGTGTAAGTGTATAGTATCTATGCGGTACAGGAGCACTTAAAATGCTTATGAACTGAAGGTACTTTTGAACGATTTTATGTTAGAAAAAGAGAGTTTGGACATCATCGGATCCGTCCTTCAGAACATTCTTCTTCAAAATTGGGGCAGAGATGCACCATTAGTGAAGTATAACTGTACCTGTACTGCCAATAGTGAAATACCGAAGCTCCGACCGCTTCTACCTTTATACCTGTATGCCTCTTATTGTGAAATTTCGAAAAAGAATTATTATTTTTGAAGTTACTCTTTCTGTAAAATCTATATTAGTTACTTCAAATATACAGCTTTCCATTCAATCCTCAATTTTATTTAGTAAAATAAATTTAAAACAAAACGAACTTAATATGGTGCCGGACAAAACGTATGGAATTTATGCTTCTGTTATACTATCCACATACCTGCATCATTAACTAAATAATACATTTTACAAGAACAAAGGGATTTTCCTAACTGCATGCTGTACGATTAGCTGGAAGAAGTGAAAGTATTTTCTTTAGCATTGAATTTGGCGCAATTTATTTTTACGTTTTAGGCATTATTAATATGCATTTATTACTATGGATTTTCTGGTTCAGATTTCCATTGTACTGTAGATTTAACTTAAAACTGTTTACTTTTATTTAGAATTTAAAACTGCTTATTTAAAGCTGATATATTTTAAAGATCATTATTCTCATTTCTGGGCTTATTTCAAAGTCCCTCTCATAATGAAACTTCGTTTTTTTATTTTATTTTTTATTTTAAAGTCGAAAGAGGCTTTGTTCCTGAGGGACTATTGTTTTCATTTTGCGATTTTGCGTCGAATCACTCAGAATGTCCCTTTCACTTTTCAAACTGTTGCCACCCAATATTATCACCCTGTATTATATTTCAAGAAATTAAATAATGAAGAATCTGCATAAATGTCTGTATATTTCTCGCATTGTGATAAAACAACGGTACGTACAGCCATCCAATTTTGAATGACGTAATCCTACTGCAAATATGGGCATCTGGAAGCCCAAATTTGAAATTTGGAATTGGTTTTATTATCGATTTCATATTTTCCAAGACTTTAAAGAATTTTTGATTCACAAACTCAAGGATTTTCAAAGCGAGAAATGGCACGTTGTACAGAAGAAACATTTTTATATCCAGCACGTGAGACTATATATTGGAAATTCTAAAGATATGCTCAATTTAAAATTATTTTGCGATATTGCTCTTAAACTGAATTTTATGCTTTAATAGCGAAGAACATGATATTTAATAAAATAAAGTAACACACAAAATGTTAAAAAAACGCCCCTTTGAACGTAATTTAAAATCTGAAACCTTTCAGATTTTTTTGGTAACATGATTGAAAACAATGGGGCTTCTTCTTCAAATCAAAATGTCTTAATTAGTTCAAAAAATTAACCTAACTACTTGCTCGGTCTGAAATTATGTTATACTTGCTATGACTTCAGAGGAAGGAGTAATCAATTGCTGTATTTTGTTAATATATCATCAAAATTGTTTGTCTTTAATGATACTTTTATTATTACTTCTTATTTATTACTATTAATGGGTCTGCTTTTAGAAATTACGTAGGATTGCAAACATGATAGGCGTTTGAACGCGGAGGAACTACAAAAAGAATGTTTTATTTTTTAAAAAACTTTTACTTGAATTTTTCAAAGTTCTTAGAAGATGACTTTGATTCACTTTAGCCTGTATATACTAACTACCCATTCGTATTTTTGAAAATATTTGCTTATTTTTTTCTTCACAAAATTCTGAAACTAAATGTAGTGTTTATTCCTGATACTCGTATTTATGATTGACGAATTAAACAAGTCCGTGCAAATACAAGTTGTACAAGTCTGCTCCGTCTTTGCAAAGCTCTATACATGTCTAGACAAGCGTTGCTACTGCGCATATGCTTTGCTACTGCGTGTATGCATATGGTGCGCTGCTACTGGTATCAAGTGTGCGAGTTTTTGCAAGTAATGTGATCACAAAGCAAATAGGTACTTATACAAACTTGATGAAATATTCTTAATTAATATATATAATTAGTTAATTTTACCCTCTTTACATCTCACCAATATTTTTTTTTCATTGACATAGATCCCTTGCATGTCATAGTAGATAAATCCCTGGAAGTCCATGTACACCACCTCGAGGATCTGCAGTATAAACGAAAGTATTCACGTGCTGCCATCTATTGGCTGTAGAGGAAACTAAAAAATCCCTTCGTTGATTTTTAGATTTTTTATTATTATTTTATTGTATTTAAATGTGTTTACCAGCTGGTGATATGATTTTGTTTTACAGGAAGTTTATTAAAACAGCCGACTACAATAATGCAGTGATTATATTATCTTCTGTAAAATCACATGGTAAAATTTCAGTTCTTTCACTAAGACAAGATGTTTTAGTTTATTTAAGAAAAGTTTAGTTCATTCATTTTTAGTTCCTCAGAACACGTAGTAACCACACTTAATACTTCTTTAGGTAATATGAATTCTGCATCAGATATAATTTTTTCTTTACTCATTTCTATTGGAATTCAGACTTTTATATTATCGTTTCTGAAACTAACTGCTCAAATGATTAACGCTTCCTTTCGCAAATACCAGTATTTATTTATTTTTTTTTTTTTTAATTAGCATCAGATGACACCATCAGATTAAAATAATCTTTATGCCAATACAATGTCTCAAATGTCAATTTTTTTTTTTTAAATTGTGAAACAAATTTCAGGATGCCCAAGAATCTTAATAATTAGTATTAGAACGTTCCATATCAAAAATAAGTTTTTAAAAGAGTGTTTTTTATTGAATTCAGTTTCTTTTTCAAGTTCCTTTATTCAGTTTTCTTTGGTAAAGGACACTCGATAGCTTAAATTTTTTTTAATTCTTTTTTTTTAATTAATATTCATTTTCATTTTTTTAATTCATTTTAAGTCATTTTTGTTCATGTTTTGTTCAAAGAAGACTCATGATAGTTTCAGTAAATTATGAAGATTTTACAAAAAATACTAGGAAACGGATCTAAGATCATGTCAATGATCGACACAAACAACGATGTTTGGATTTCCAAGGTTAGACATCTTTTCATTGAAAATTCATGAATATAAAAAGAAAATATTTTTTGCAAACTTATTCAGTGTGTCGGATTTTAAAAGATCGTGAACAACACAAGTTCCTTATTTCTTTTTTCCTTCATTTTCCCTTCCCCCCCCCTTTTTTTTTTTTTTTTTTCTTATAGTGACATTTTCTGTGGGCCTCTGAATTTCAAACTTTTTCTATATAAATTTTACCTGAATTATTTTATAACGTTTATAAAAAAAATGCTTCAGATAAAAATTGTATGCCTTATTAAGTTCTTTGTTCTTTCTCTTAGAATACTAAGCTAGCATGCATAGTTTTCTATCTGTAATTTCAAAATGCTTGGTATACGGTTCAGTTTGTACCCCTAGTATTTTTCTCCCAGCTTTGTAGCCTTTAACGCCATGTTCTGAAAATTTTAAAAAGATTCGTGTAATTTTCCTCTTTTTCAATGTGTTTCTGAAAGTTAACTCGGCAGTAATGGCAGCTTCTAACTACCGTTTTTGTCACATTACCAAAAGCAAAAAAAAAGTCCATTTTTTTACACTGACTTTAATGAATCAACTACCAAATGAATGTTCTGAAGAATCAATGATCTCCGTTTACTACTGAGTGCTGTTACTTATTTTCCATGTCATTGTCTGTTCTGATGCTGCTGTCTGTGTTCTGTTAGTCAGTGGCAGGGTTGAGGTAAAACATGTAAGATGTGAAAGGCCGAAATGGCCTAATAATATATCCATATATTTTTATTGATACTATGCTTATTGCCATTAAATTTTGTCACATTGTAAAATGGTCTTTCTTGTATCATTACCCATACTTCTACTATCATATGCAATATGACCTCTGTTGACTTTTTATGGAATAATAAATAAATTGTACACACATACAAAAATAAAAACATTATGAATTTTTAAGAAATAAACATCACTTTCCTGCTGACTTTCCTCTATTAACAGTTTTGCAAGTAAAAGCCTTTTGACATTGGATGTTTGTGCTCATCTCTCTCTCTTTTTCTTTCAGAAAGATAGTTATTTTTACTGCTAAAATATCTTTATGAACTATATTACTCAGTGGGTCTCCTTTGCTTTTCTTTCCTTTCTTCGTGCTTTCATTTTAACTTCGCTTTGAAGACAGAAAATTTCCTTTTGTTTTGGTACCTAGCAAGATAAAGGTTTTGTTTCTATTATTTTTCTTAATTAGTTCATTTTAGATTACACATTTTTGTAGAGACTTTGTAACGGTCAATAAAAGTTTCATGTAAAGTATTTAAATCATGCATTGCTGAAACTTGCTTAAAATTTTGATTGAAATGAGCTCTTAATTTTCATATGATGTTATTTTGCAATGGTTCATTATAAAAGTTTTTATCTTTTATTCATATTTTTTTTTTCTAAAACGTATCCTACTTTAAAACTTAATTTATATTATTTAATCCGATCTTTCAGCGAAGATCATAAACGTTATTTATGTCAGTAATTGCATTATTTAGACATTGGACTGCTCTGCAATCCTAAATAAAATGCTCTCATGTAATTAGCATATGTTCATAAGAAAATTTGTAAACAATAAGGTAATATTAACAATAAATAGTTTATTCACTAAACTTGTTAACAATTAACACCAAAATCTTAAAATGGTCCGTAAATAAAATTCCCAAAAACAAGGTCTTGATAGAAGCTCAGAATATGCAACATAAACAAATTCGTGAAACATGTTTCAAGAAAAAGCGTAGCCAAAATTATGACATAAAAAATTGACCGGGAGGCTGTCTGTTACATTTGTTCCAATAGAGGCTGTATCAAATCTGACAGAACAAATGTTGAAGAAAGAGTGGAAAGAACTGGAATACCAAACTTGACATTCTCCAATCTATGAAGAAGACAAACGACCAAATTTGCTAATAGATATATTACACGAATATAATTAATAAATAATCATTATACAGTTCATAAAAAACTCAATTACTGCCTTTACCATTAAGAAAACATATATGTCTAATTACAATAGTTTACGTACAATATACTTTTGTAGTGAGTGAAAGACTTTGTGTTCAGTTTGTTGTTCTTAACACTTTTTCTGAAAATTATTAGAGACTACACAAAAAATGAATCAATTTATTAAATTAAATAACAATTATTTAAAAAAAAATTATTTTATGGGTTTTCTGAACTTGCGAATTAGTTTTATGGATTCCATGGGTTTACCAAATTTGAAGATTAACAGTCTGATATAAAGCACCCATCTAAGTTACGCTGGTTTCAAATGTATTAAATACGAATAATTTAAAACAACGAATTGCTTACTTCCCTGTCTCAGACAAAATCGATGTCGTTTGCTTGTCTTTTACATCATCTTATGTATTGATATAAATTACTTTAAGTTGGCTTATGAGAATTGCCTTATACTTTTTTATCTTTCAGGTGTATCCTCCTGCTCATTTCCCTTGGACAAAATCAGTGAAAACTGCACGGCACAAAACAATTTTGGCTATGACACCGGTAGTCCATGTGTGGCTCTAGTCTTCAATGCTTTTTCTGGGTGGACACCCATCCCATATAATGTGTCTAATCCTTCTGAGATTCCCCCAGAAGTCAGGAAAGACTATGATCCTCATTTGATGAGAATCACCTGCAGGACTACTGTGGTATCATCTAATTCAAGCATGTTTGTCGAGGTCCAGTATTCACCCTTTCCAGGATTTCCTTTGCGATTTCTACCATCCCGAGGTATGGGATCGAGTCTTCCTCCGCTCGTGATGGTCCAGTTTTTAGGCACTAAACCTGTGGCTGATGTCGATGTGCGGTGTACATTATGGGCAAAGAACTTACCTCGTAACACCACTGGAGATGGAGGAAATATTAGATTTAGCCTGTATGTGGTATAATAATGAAACTGCGATTTTTTTCGAACTGGAACATATTATGGAGATCAATCAAAATAAGCTTGCTATAAGAATGGTGTGATCTTAACAATAAATCCCTAGTTTCATGATACTGAAAAGTCAAGTTTCATGTTTGGTCTGTTCTTAAAACAGAAGGTCCAAACAATTGTGGTTGATCAAGAATAGTAACGAACATGCCTCTTAAAACCCTTACGACGTCACGGCAATCAGATAAGACCTATGAACGTATTTCTGTGCTATTATTACTGACGAAGGGTGAAGAAAAACATAGCTAAACCAAGTTAAAACAAGAGAATATCTGATGCAGTTTGCATATGAGTTAAGCGTGAATTTTAAGATATTTCTCTGTCACACTGATATTAATTTATCAATAATTGTGACATTTCCTTAAATGTTTGGTATCCAAATTCACTACAAAAAATGGTACTGTCAGAAGAAGAAAGTAAGTTCGATATTGCTTTCCAAGAAGGAAATGAAGTTTTCATTTGAAATTATTCTACTTGAAATGTGAGTTATTCGATGTTTTGGTTGTGTTTTGATACTGTTGTGCTGCTGATGTAAATAAACGTAAATTGGATGTGTACTCTGCATTTTGCAATTGTCCTTACATAACTCTAAATTTTATTAGTTATATTCGTGTAATACATAAATTCACAAATCTTGATATTACTCTTAAAAAAACAATCGCTTTAAAGCAATTGTATACATTATTGGGACTATATATTTACAGAGTCCTATTTTTACGTTTCTTTAGAATGGTATTATGTTCATACAGAACAGTATGGACAAGACTTTGTCGCAAGAAATATGAAAATTTTGCCTGAAACATAATATACTATTGTGATGAAGTCTCGGGAGTGATTCCTTGAAACACAATGTTTCAACTAGTTGGTCACAATTGTCACATGCCATTCAAAATAATCTTTCAAATTAAAAATAAAGCCGACTGTACGTCAACTTTATTTTCTTCATTCTCAAAACACATATTAAGCACCTTCAGAACGCGCAGCGAAGAATTTTCTTTTATTTCATCGGTAGATTTAAAACAATGTTCAAGGAAGAGCAGTTTTAAACCAAGGAAATAACATGTCATGTGGGGTTATATCAAAGGGAGAAACGAAGGAGCTGAATTTGTTGAATTTTTACCAAAAATTTACAAAAAACAAAATCATTGTGAACACTTGCATTATCATGGTGAAAATTTTCTATTTATCTCGCCGTAATTGAAGTTATCTCCTGCGAACTAATTCACACAAACTCCACAAAATATTCAAATAATATTCTTTGTTAACAGTTTGATCATTTGGTAAAAATTCATGATGCGCAACAGTACAACAATCCAAGAAAACTGCCAACATTAACCTAGCTTTTGGATGACTTTGATATGGTCTTACAGGATCTGGCCTTCTTAAGTAGCATAAAATTGGACCAGAACTCTAAAAAACAATTGTAGAGTTATCACTATGTCTTGTAAGTATCGCAGAGCCAGGGAAAAGTTGTAATGGACCCTTTTATTGATCCAAATAAACTTTAACACTCGGTACCAATTCTTGCTTGGAGAAGCCAATAGTTTTGGCTTAAAACAAACATAATGGATGAACTAAAATTAATGTAATTAGACATAGCGAAGTCGGTGTAAATACGTCTGATGGAAATAATAATACAACGCTGTAGAATAGTGATCGCTAGAGAATCAAAGTTAGCAACGTGGCCTTCAAGCAGAAGGAACAAGCTCCGATTTCACTCTTCAAAATCTTCCTTTAAATACATTCTACCATCTACCTAATTTGAAAATCACGCGAGCTATAAATTTACATTTTGGCAGGGAAATGAGGCTGATAGGAGAGGAAATTACAATAAAATAAAATGTTAGAAAAATAAGTGATACTCTGCAATTTTATCGATTTTGTTTCATCTTTAGAACACCCTTGACTTGATTGACGAGATATTTCTGTATCAAACGCATAGTTACATATTTCATCATGCCTTTTTTTTTTAGGTGGGCACGTTTTCAGAAATCATCCTTTGGGATCTATGCACTTGAACATGTTGTTTAGGAAAAAATTCATCGTTTCTGATACAACTCTAGAAGCGAATTGATGTGATCTCAAGTGATATTTCAAAATCGCTTGACAGGATCCAAATGATAAAATAACTTTTTCAGTAGTAGTCCTAATAGTTAAACCATAATCATTAAGTATCAAATCTCTGATTTGATCGATATCTGTACATGAAAAATGTATTATTGTAGTAGATATATCTCAGCCGAATTCATGTTTCGATGTGCTACATCCTGAGATTGCAGTATATATTAAAAAATTTCAAAAGCTCATTTTAAGTTAAAATTATATTTATTTTGTTTCAGTAAATGCAGAAATCTATTAAAACTTCCTAATAAATTAAATATGAAAAATAATATAATCAGACAACAGAGAAAGTAATAGTGCAAAACATTTTGGAAAAAAAAACTTTGAAATAAAAATCGGCAGCGAAGTAAAACATGACTACAGTTATAATGCTTTATTTTCACTCATTTGATGAATACTCAGTCAGTTGAAATATGTAGAACATCAAAAATACGACCACACATATTTTCAAACGACTTGCCGCTAGTGTAGGAAAAGGATGCTTGTAGAGTATATTCAGTAAAAAAATTGTCACTTTGAGCTGATCATATACGGTAGGCTGCAGATGGGAGCGCTCTCATTATATTTATAAATAAATTATAAAAAATGTTTGAAATAAGTAAACGTACTAAATTAATCACAAATGTATACTTTGCAATGAATCACAGATGTTCTTGTACGTCTTGCGCACACACACAATCACACACACACACACACACACACAAAAAAAACAAAAGAACTGTTTCACATCTCCTGTTCTACAGTGCCGATTGACAAAATTTAACTTGCGTTTTTCACGTCTCAAAACCGCGAATTAAGGTATATACATATTAGAGTATATATAGCATTAATGTAACATCGTAAATTTTGACATAAAATTTGACTTTTCTGGAATGACATACCGATTTTTCTCCATATTTCGATTCTAGGACTCAAATTATGCCAAAGTGCCAAAAAAAAAAAAAAAAAAAAAAAAAAAAAAAGATCATTATTAATAGCCTCCCCTTTTTTTAACTTACTTTATTTCTTCTTTCGCATTTTGAAATTTAGTTTCAGTTCAAATAAAATTTGCGGATATTTCCTGATTTATTTTTTTAATTTTTATTTTTTAGTTATTTTTATAAATTTTTCGAAAACATTAGACTTGGAAGGTTTTTGATTAGAAATCTAATCAAAATTCTAATCAAAAACCTTCCAGTCGCGTTTCAAGAATTCTGCTAAACTGCAAGCTTGCCTTACTTCGGTCCATCATAAGGGATACACGTCAACAATTGTCCAAAATTGAACTTCATCTTTAACTCGCTAATTCATATCCAAAATTCACTGCCCTTGGACAAATGTCTTGGTATAGAACGGAGAATGCAGTTAACCGTCATAAAAACACCCTTGCAGTTAAATTCGAAAAATTTCTTTTACAGTCTTCTAGTTCAATAGTTTAAAAAAATATTTCAATTGTAGACACTAAGCCAATAGTTAATATTTCTAATCTTAGTTTATCAGAAGAACAAGAAAGAATACTAAAATATAATTTTAACTTCTCACAAACCTGTAAACCCTCGATTCCAAAGATTTTGGCTCCTATTGAAAAAGCTTTCAAGTTTAGTAAAGTTTCAGATTCACAGAAAGAAATGATTAGGCATCTTATCACTCATAATGTGAAATACAATAATAAACCTTTGAAATAAAATCTAACTGCGAGAGAAAGAGCTGCAATGCGTGAAATTCATTCTAACCCAGATATTATCATTTCAAAGGCCGACAAAGGTGGCCAGATAGTCATCATGGATAAGAACACTTACATCGATGGTGTCACTAAACTCTTAAACGAAAGACCATGTAATCCGATCCCTAAAGTTCCTTCACTTTCGGACCTGTCAAAAATAAAAACTACGATCAAATCTTTACAAATCATTTCAAGCAACTTAAAACATTCGCTTATCCCATCTGTTGCGAATAGTGCCAGATTATATGCTCTTAACAAAATTCATAAAAGTGGTATTCCTTTCCGCCCTATTGTATCAAATTTAGGTACTGTCTCGTATCCATTAGCTAAATATTTAGTTTCTAGATTTTCAACTCTATTAGACAATAACATTTACACTATAAAAAATTCAATAGAGTTTGTAAAAAAGGTTAAAAACATTTCTCCTAGAAATTTACTCATGGTTTCTTTTGATGTAAAATCATTATTCACCAATGTTCCAGTGGAGGATGCATTAAGATGTCTAGAAACCAGACTTTGCGAATATCATTTCTCTTGCATCGAAATTGATGAGCTAATTTCTCTCACTCAACTCTGTTTGAAACAAACACATTTTGTTTTCCAAAATAAATATTACAAGCAAACTGAGGGATTAGCCATGGGAAGTCCCCTCAGTCCCATCCTGGCTGATATCTACATGCATTATTATGAATCAAAATTGTTTGAAACTTTAAACTTCCCGGCATGGTTCCGCTACGTAGACGATACTTTTACTCTGTTTGAAGGTAATAAAGATGATTTAAATAAAGTTCTTTCAACAATGAATTCTATTGATCTTGCTATTCAGTTCACTTTTGAACATGAGACTTGCAATTCTCTTCCGTTTCTCGACATTCTGGTCACACGTAACACATCCAACTTTAGTACTACGGTTTACCGTAAACCTTTATCGGTTTGCCTTCCACTACACTTTAAATCATGTTATCCGACTAAACAAAAGTTAGCTTCATTTTATTTCTATGTTTTCCATGCCCTTCAAGTTTGCTCCTCCAAACTATCCCTCGATGAAGAATAGCTGTTGACAGGGGCTTTTCACCCAACATTATTAATCAAGCAGTTAAAAAACTCATCTCAACATACTAAAAGACACACTCTTGTTTTAGGAGATTATAAAAATTCTGTTGTCATTCCCTTCTTTCCATCAATTAGCTATAACGTTGCACATATTTTGCAGAAATTTAACTTTCGGGTCGTTTGTTCTCCCATCAATACAATTCCGAGTTCCATACTCAAGGACCCCATTCCGAATATGAATTTCTGGGGTATTTATAGGATTCCTTGCCAGTGAGGTTTAATTTACAGTGGCCAAACTAAGAGAGCCTTAAAATTTCTTGTCAAGGAACATGAGGCAAATGTTAGAAAAAAGGAAACACAGAAGTCTTCTGTTGCCCAACATTGTTGGTCCGAAAGTCACACTTTCAATTTTTCTGCTGCCAAAATTATTCAAAAAACATCTTCCATTAGAGACCTGGATTTTCTAGAGGCATTTCACATTCAAAAAATTCTTTCTGTTCTAGTTAACGATCCTAATTCCAATCCATCTTTGCCTTCGGCTTTTAAAGAAATTTTGTTTTAGTTCTGGTTTCACCAACAGATGGCGCCACTAGCTTATTTTCAGTCCAGGCTTTCTTGTCTTATCTGATCATTATATCCTATCTCGTTCATTTGCCCTTTTGCAGCTGACGATGGTGGTTC